AGTATGTAAGTGGCATGATCATCAGGTCAAAATGGACGCCAGGCACGGTCACTGTTTTGAGTCGTGGCAAATTTCTTGCTTCTGCCAGACCGAAGCCGTTGCATTTTTGCTCCATTTGTAGACTGAGAGGACATAGTTTCCTCACCTAGCTTCTGTGTTAAGTGCATGGCGTGACACTGTGAGCTGTGGATTTTATTTGGAATGTTATTCGACTGTGACCAACGTGGTGGTTGGAATTGTAGATTCAGAAAATGGCGCGATGACTGTTGTTGCAAATTGGTGGTGCCATTATGTGATTAAAATTGATCGCGCGTGCAAAGACGGGCTCTCTGTCGGTCTGTCTGTCTGTCTGTCTGTCTTGTCTGTCTTGTCTGTCTGTCTGTCTGTCTCTCTCTCTCTCTCTCTCTCTCTCTCTCTCTCTCTCTCTCTCTCTCTCTTTCTCTCTCTCTCTCAAACACACATGCAGACTCACACACTCAGATTTGTTGCGATCGCTGCCTGATCCGCGACTGTTGCGGTTGTCTGTGAGTGTAGCACGGGACGGGGTTTAGCCGGGATATGTCCCAGACACAGACGAGTGTCCTTGCCGAGCCAGCGCTCTGGTATCGAATACACGTACGTGACAGATCGATGTCGCAGGTAAATACCCATCTATATTGTACAGTCTTTGGTTTCACTTCTAGTTACGCTGTCCTGGGCGAGGGAGGGGGGGGGGGGGGGAATAGAGAAACGAAGAAACTTTTATTGTAGGAGAGTCAAACATTAGGCGCGCTGACCCGATTTAACATTCAGCTTTTTCAAACATTTAACTTTCCTATATGAGATCTATCAGTCCCCACACAATGGTAACCTCCTTGTTGGCTGTGTGCAAGTTTTAGCGGCATTAAATGTTTAATCAACGCGTTGGTCAGTCCTCATGTCGCCACGCCATATTCTAATCTATATCAGCCAGATATTATTGTATATTCTCCGTATTATAACATCTGTGCCGCATATGGTAACATATATCCAACCAGATTGTCACGTATATGCTCCATATTCTTCTTCCACCGTTTTATAAAACGTACATCCACCAAATTCTGCCTAATATCTACCGTACACTAATAAATCTACCGTACACTAATATATTAACCTTACACTAATATATCTACAATTTGCTAATGCATATCCTCTTCATTCTATTCTAAATCCACCACATTGTATTGTAAATCCGCCATATAATAATGTTCATCCATCATACTGTAGTGTACATCCACCATACTGTAGTGTTCATCCGCAATATTATAGTGTACATCCACCATATTACAGTGTACATCCAGCATGTAGCAGTGTACATCCACCATATTACAGTGTACATCCACCATGTAGCAGTGTACATCCACCATATTATAGTGTACATCCACCATATTATAGTGTACATCCACCATTTAGCAGTGTACATCCACCATATTATAGTGTACATCCACCATATTATAGTGTACATCCACCATATTATAGTGTACATCCACCATATTATACTGTACATCCACCATATTATAGTGTACATCCACCATATTATAGTGTACATCCACCATATTATAGTGTACATCCACCATGCTATAGTTACATCCACCATATTATAGTGTACATCCACCATATTATAGTGTACATCCACCATATTATAGTGTACATCCACCATATTATAGTGTACATCCACCATGCTATAGTGTACATCCACCATATTATAGTGTACATCCACCATATTATAGTGTACATCCAGTTTATTATAGTGTACATCCACCATATTATAGTGTACATCCACCATATTATAGTGTACATCCACCATATTATAGTGTACATCCACCATATTATAGTGTACATCCACCATATTATAGTGTACATCCACCATATTATAGTGTACTTCCACCATGTTATAGTGTACATCCACCATGTTATAGTGTACATCCACCATATTATAGTGTACATCCACCATATTATACTGTACATCCACCATGTTATAGTGTACATCCACCATGTTATAGTGTACATCCACCATATTATAGTGTACATCCACCATGTTATAGTGTACATCCACCATGTTATAGTGTACATCCACCATGTTATAGTGTACATCCACCATGTTATAGTGTACATCCACCATATTATACTGTACATCCACCATGTTATAGTGTACATCCACCATGTTATAGTGTACATCCACCATATTATAGTGTACATCCACCATGTTATAGTGTACATCCACCATGTTATAGTGTACATCCACCATGTTATAGTGTACATCCACCATGTTATAGTGTACATCCACCATGTTATAGTGTACATCCACCATGTTATAGTGTACATCCACCATGTTATAGTGTACATCCACCATGTTATAGTGTACATCCACCATGTTATAGTGTTCATCCACCATGTTATAGTGTACATCCACCATATTATAGTGTACATCCACTATGCTATAGTGTACATCCACCATGTTATAGTGTACATCCACTACGTTCTACTGTTCATCCACCATATTATAGTGTACATCCAGTATATTATAGTGTACATCCACCATGTTATAGTGTACATCCACCATATTATAGTGTACATCCACCATGTTATAGTGTACATCCAGTATATTATAGTGTACATCCACCATATTATAGTGTACATCCACCATATTATAGTGTACATCCACCATGCTATAGTGTACATCCACCATATTATAGTGTACATCCACCATATTATAGTGTACATCCACCATGCTATAGTGTACATCCACCATATTATAGTGTACATCCAGTATATTATAGTGTACATCCACCATATTATAGTGTACACCCACCATATTATAGTGTACATCCACCATATTATAGTGTACATCCACCATATTATAGTGTACATCCACCATGCTATAGTGTACATCCACCATATTATAGTGTACATCCACCATATTATAGTGTACATCCACTATGCTATAGTGTACATCCACCATATTATAGTGTACATCCACCATATTATAGTGTACATCCACCATATTATAGTGTACATCCACCATATTATAGTGTACATCCACCACGTTCTACTGTTCATCCACCATATTATAGTGTACATCCAGTATATTATAGTGTACATCCACCATATTATAGTGTACATCCACCATGTTATAGTGTACATCCACCATGTTATAGTGTACATCCACCATGTTATAGTGTACATCCACCATATTATAGTGTACATCCACCATATTATAGTGTACATCCACCATGCTATAGTGTACATCCACCATGTTATAGTGTACATCCACCATGTTATAGTGTACATCCACCATATTATAGTGTACATCCACCATATTATAGTGTACATCCACCATATTATAGTGTACATCCACCATGCTATAGTGTACATCCACCATGTTATAGTGTACATCCACCATGTTATAGTGTACATCCACCATGTTATAGTGTACATCCACCATATTATAGTGTACATCCACCATATTATAGTGTACATCCACCATATTATAGTGTACATCCACCATATTATAGTGTACATCCAGTATATTATAGTGTACATCCACCATGTTATAGTGTACATCCACCATGTTATAGTGTACATCCACCATGTTATAGTGTACATCCACCATGTTATAGTGTACATCCACCATGTTATAGTGTACATCCACCATGTTATAGTGTACATCCACCATGTTATAGTGTACATCCACCATGTTATAGTGTACATCCACCATATTATAGTGTACATCCACCATATTATAGTGTATATCCACCATATTATAGTGTACATCCACCATATTATAGTGTACATCCAGTATATTATAGTGTACATCCACCATATTATAGTGTACATCCACCATATTATAGTGTACATCCACCATATTATAGTGTACATCCACCATATTATAGTGTACATCCACCATATTATAGTGTACATCCACCATATTATAGTGTACATCCAGTTTATTATAGTGTACATCCACCATGTTATAGTGTACATCCACCATATTATAGTGTACATCCACCATGTTATAGTGTACATCCACCATATTATAGTGTACATCCACCATATTATAGTGTACATCCACCATATTATAGTGTACATCCACCATATTATAGTGTACATCCACCATATTATAGTGTACATCCACCATATTATAGTGTACATCCACCATATTATAGTGTACATCCACCATATTATAGTGTACATCCACCATATTATAGTGTACATCCACCATATTATAGTGTACATCCACCATATTATAGTGTACATCCACCATGTTCCACTGCATTCTTTTGTAAATCCACAACATTCTTTTGTAAATCCACAACATTATAGTGTAAATCAACGATATTCTATTGTAAACCCACCATATTCTAATATAAAATCACCATATTCCGTCTAGTATTATTCCACCATATTCTAGTGTAAATCCACCAAATTGTAGTGTAAATCTACAATATTTTAGTGTAAATCCACTAAATTCTAATGTAAATCCACGATATTGTATTGTAAATTATGTATATTATAGTGTATTTCCACCATGTTCTAATGTAAATCCACCATAGTGTAGTGTCCATATTCAGATCGTTTGGCGGACAAGGACACAGTATACAGTGTTGACATTACTGCAGCCAGCTATAGTTTTCAGCTGAGACAATCAAGAAAGTTCACTGGCACTTAAACCATATTCCACATCCCCTGTGTTGATCGAGACTTTATTGATACACTCTAAGCCCATCAGTGTCTCCTCCTCCCTGCCTCCTTCACCCTCTTTCTCGGCGTCGCCGTATGGATTCGCTTGGTATTTGTAAGCGGGTTTTCTCGTCATTCTCCCCCTGCCCACTGACTCCCGTGGCAGTAACTCCATTAACGGTCGCAGACACCGCCCGCTTCGCAAGGAATCAGCCCTGATTTCTCACGCTGTCGATTTCTCTCTCTCTTTCTCTGCGTCCTCGGCTACTGGACCCACCTCCCCAAGTGTCCGCCTCTGTGCCCTCCTTTCGCTGGAGGCTGAAATCAAACTCAAAGCAGGACATTGCTTGCATCTGCCGCCACTGCTGATCGTCTGCGGCTTCAGGCCACTTTTGACCTTCTAGGTTTACGATTGTGTGAAAGTTGTTAATTACTGATATAACATTGTTCATGGAACGCGCACGGCAATATGTTTCAGCAGTGAAAGATGTTTCTTGACTCTTCCACCTTATGTATAGCTTTATGTTTCACCTGGAGCACGTCTCAAAAAAGGATACATATTTCATTGTGAAATTGTTGACATGGAGTTAATTTCACAGAGATCCATTTCGCTGTTGTGGAAACATGACCGTTATTCTTGGCTGTGGTTAGATCCACCATTATCGGCGTTGTGATTGTGTTGTTCAATTATCTCTGTCGGTCTTGTGATTGCATATTAAAGGTCTCATCTATCGGACTTGTGATGGTATGTGGGGGTGACCTCTGTCAAGCTTGTGATAGTTTGTGAAGATCACCTCGATCTAACTTGGGATTGATTGTGAGGATCACCTCTATCGAACTAGTGATTGTGTGTGAGGATCACCTCTATCAAACTAGTGATTGTATGTGAGGATCACCTCTATCGAACTAGTGATTGTATGTGAGGATCACTTCTATCGAACTTGTGATTGTATGTGAGGATCACGTCTATCGAGCTTGCGATTTCATGTAAAGACGATCTTTATCGGACTAGGCGATTGTATGTGAATATCACCTACGTCTGGCTTGTCATTGCGTGGATTGTTAGATGCCCGCTACCCGGGTTGCAGTTGTGTGGATGAATCACGTCTCTCAGGTTTATGCGTGTATCTGTCAGTTACGGCCAGAGTGGTTGTGATTGCTGTACTGTTTACTGTGTTTGCGGTCGTGGGGTGCTCAAGCGAAGCTGGTCAGTCAGCGAGTCACGAGCATGCCATGGATTATCTCAAGCGGAGATGTCACGTGACACAGGCTCATCTGACGTGACCAGTAATTGTTAATCTCCTAGGTCGCGCTGATGACCTTTATCAGTTGTTGTGCCCTCATCATTGTCATCATCATCATCAGCGTCGTCATCAACATGCAGCTGCTGAAACCATTCCCATCACCAGCATACACTTGATGAAAGCACCGCTTTCTCGTCCCATTATCAGTTATACCATAGCTGTACTAGAGAGACTGGTGTCTGCATGCAGATGCGTATAGTTGTACAGAAAATGACTACAAGACACAAGAGACTTACCTTTCTGTCCTTATATATGTCTGTCAGTTCTGTCGGTCTGTCCGTTGGATCTTTGCATTGTGTGTGTGTGTGTGTGTGTGTGTGTGTGTGTACACAGACCTGTATATTAACGCGCGTACGCGCAGACATCTGCTAAAGCAGAGCACTTCCGCCTACGTGTGTCACCGATGAGTTACAGTAACCACTGTTGTCTGTTCTGCTCGCTGTTGCAGTAACCACTGTTGTCCATCGTGCTCGCTGTTACAGTAACCACTGTTGTCTGTTGTCCGTTCTGCTCGCTGTTGCAGTAACTACTGCTGTCTGTTGTCCATCTTGCTCGCTGTTGCAGTAACCACTGTTGTCTGTTGTCCGTTCTGCTCGCTGTTGCAGTAACTACTGCTGTCTGTTGTCCATCTTGCTCGCTGTTACAGTAACCACTGTTTTCTGTTGTCCATCTTGCTCGCTGTTACAGTAACCACTGTTGTCTGTTGTCCTTCTTGCTCACTGTTACAGTAACCACTGTTGTCTGTTGTCCATCTTGCTCGCTGTTACAGTAACCACTGTTGTCCATCTTGTTCACTGTTACCGTAACCACTGTTGTCTTTTGTCCATCTTGCTCACTGTTACAGTAACCACAGTTTTCTCTCTTGCTCGCTGTTACAGTAACCACTGTTGTCTGTCTTGCTCGCTGTTACAGTAACCACTGTTGTCTGTCTTGCTCACTGTTACAGTAACCACAGTTTTCTCTCTTGCTTGCTGCTACAGTAACCACTGTTGTCTGTCTTGCTCGCTGTTACAGTAACCACTGTTGTCTGTCTTGCTCACTGTTACAGTAACCACTGTTGTCTGTCTTGCTTGCTGCTACAGTAACCACTGTTGTCTGTCTTGCTCGCTGTTACAGTAACCACTGTTGTCTGTCTTGTTCGCTGTTACAGTAACCACTGTTGTCTGTCTTGCTCACTGTTACAGTAACCACTGTTGTCTGTCTTGCTTGCTGCTACAGTAACCACTGTTGTCTGTCTTGTTCGCTGTTACAGTAACCACTGTTGTCTGTCTTGCTCGCTGTTACAGTAACCACTGTTGTCTCTCTTGTTCGCTGTTACAGTAACCACTGTTGTCTGTCTTGCTCGCTGTTACAGTAACCACTGTTGTCTGTCTTGTTCGCTGTTACAGTAACCACTGTTGTCTGTCTTGCTCGCTGTTACAGTAACCACTGTTGTCTGTCTTGTTCGCTGTTACAGTAACCACTGTTGTCTGTCTTGCTCACTGTTACAGTAACCACTGTTGTCTGTCTTGCTTGCTGCTACAGTAACCACTGTTGTCTGTCTTGCTCGCTGTTACAGTAACCACTGTTGTCCATCTTGCTCGCTGTTACAGTAACCACTGTTGTCCTTCTTGCTCACTGTTACAGTAACCACTGTTGTCTGTCTTGCTCGCTGTTACAGTAACCACTGTTGTCCATCTTGCTCACTGTTACAGTAACCACTGTTGTCCATCTTGCTCACTGTTACAGTAACCACTGTTGTCCATCTTGCTCACTGTTACAGTAACCACTGTTGTCCATCTTGCTCACTGTTACAGTAACCACTGTTGTCTGTCTTGCTCGCTGTTACAGTAACCACTGTTGTCTGTCTTGTTCGCTGTTACAGTAACCACTGTTGTCTGTCTTGTTCGCTGTT